GCCCAAGTTGGAACCGGCAAAATTTATTAATTTAGAAAGATTATTAATTTATCGAGTATTAATTTATAGAGGTTCTACTGTATAAGTGTGGATGGATCGAACGAGTCATGAAGAAGATATCATATTATCAATCACCGTCTCTGAATAAACAAAAGTAAGAATTGAACGAGCAAAGTATTCCAAGTTCAAACGTCGACAAAACCTCACTTGATTCAATTCAGTTTCGGTCTTTTTAAGACAAAAAAAAACAAGTTTTTCTGAATTTCTGTAATCGAAAGTTTTCTCCTTTTTTTCTTCTTTTTCATCGTTAGGGTTCTTTCAAGTTTCAGTTCCGCCGATAAAATCGTGAAAAATACCAAAAACAATTCGAAGAAGAAGACGAAGATAGGTTTCGAAGTGTCAAGGAGCCACACAATCGAGGAAAGGAGTCGGTGGTGAGTCGATAAGGTTATGATACTTACTGGGTTTTGTATACTCTGTTCTAGGCTTTGTATACTCTGTTCTGGGGTTTTGTAGATAAAGTCTAGATTTTTACTGTAGATTCTGTTCTGTTCGATTGATCACTTACTTAATCAGTAAGATTCTGTTCTGTTTGATTAATTAGTTTCGATTCCCATGAACAGTATTCTCAAAAAAGAAGATGAACAGAAGTAGCAGCAATTCAGAAGGTCCTAAAGCAGAGCAGATCATATTCGAGTTCTTTGCTAAAAGCCTCCACATAATCCTCGAATCAAGGACTCCTTTCATGTCTTCACGAAACTTTAGCGGTGACCAAATGCTCTGTTCTCCTTGCTCATCCTCTTCATCTTCCTCAAGCGTCAGGCCTCGTGACAAATGGTTCAACCTAGCTCTCCGTGAATGCCCTGCAGAGTTAGAGAGTTTCGATATCGGGCGTAGAAGCAGCGTTGAGCCTCTGGTTGTTGATGTGGTTCTTGTAGTTGTTGGTGGTGAACAAGATGAGACAAAGAACGAGCAAGTAATAGAGAGATGGTTGGTTCAGTATGATAACAGAAGGGTTAAGGAAGCTGCTGCTGCTTCTGCTTCTAGTAGTGGTAGTAGTAGTAACAGGAGGTCAAGTAGTAATAATAAGTTGCAAGTGATGTATAAGAAAGCAACTTTACTGCTGAGATCATTGTTTGTGATGGTCAGGCTTTTACCTGCGTATAAGATCTTCAGGGAGCTTAACTCCTCTGGACAAATCTGTAAGTTTAAGCTTGTCCCTAAGGTTCCCACCATAGTTGAGCCATTCACTCGTAGAGAAGAAGCGGAGATGCAGAAGTTTGCGTTCACACCGGTTGATACAATCTGCGGTAGGCTTTACATGTCAGTGTTGTATCGTTCCCTCTCAGACGTCAGCTGCCAACACTCGTCTCCTGTGTCTCCAACGTTTATAACAGATTACGTTGGAAGCCCTTTAGCTGATCCGTTGAAGAGGTTCCCTTCTCTTCCACTTTCTTACGGTTCACCTCCGTTGCTGTCGTTTCAGAGGCGGCATAGCTGGAGTTTTGATAGGTACAAGGCCTCTCCTCCACCTTCGGTTTCTTGCTCACCGTCTCCTACACGGTCGGATTCACAAGCGTTGGTTCGTCGCCTTCCTGATATACCTACTGGTCGTAGGAAGGAGAGTTATGTTGAAGAGTGTTTTCCTTCTCAAGAATTCTCCCCTCCTTGTTCTCCTTCAGGGCATGTGGACGCTGCTGTCTCAAGAGGCATCACGCGTACTGAAAGTGCTCCGGTTAGAATCCCGGCTCCTAGTTTTGAGTCCAAGCAAAACTTGGTGGCGCCTTCTCCTCGTTTGAAGTTGTTAAGACAAGCTTCTTTGAAGCCTGTGAGAAACAGTGGTGCTGCTGAGTCTGGAGCAGGATTGGAGAAGGTTAACTAACTCCACATGTTTCTATCTTTGTTACATTGTGTGACTGAACGAGTTGAACCTGTGTATTGTTTTCTCTTTTAGCTGTTTCTTTATGGGAGAGAAGACTTTAGGAGGAGCTCTGGAGTGAGGCTATCTACCAACAGCTCACCGAGGATATCACTTTCTAGAAGCTCAAGTAGATCATACCAAGATGATATTGATGATACTGATTTCCCTTGCCCATTTGATGTTGAGTATGATGAGATTACCGATCCTAGCAGCAGGTATGGTCTTTAAAAAGTTGTAAATCTCACTGTGTCGTTTCCTTTTTTTATCTACAATGGAACTAAGGAAGCATACAGTCTTTCTATTTCTTTGGCTCTCTCTGTGTTGAGTATGATGACTGTTGTTTTGGAACAAGTGCTTATATTAAACTGATCTTACTTTATTATTACCTTATATAAGACCAGGATCGTTCGACCAGAGAGGAGATATACATGAACCACCACTAGATTCAAGTGGTGGTTCATACCCAAAGAAGTCACAAGATGCTGCAGTTGGTGCTCTAGTGAATATGCTGAAGAAAGCTCCACCTCTCAGACAAGACATCTCTGAATCTTCCGTACCTGAAATTTATTGGAATAACAACAACAAAACTGGACTAGGTCAGGAGATAGCAGCAGCGTCGTCTATGACAGCATCAGGGATTGGTCTGGCGGCAAAGACAACAGCTGATGCGATGGAAGAGTTGAGGTCTTACAAGGAAATGAAGAATGTGTTGCTTAGCCAATCCACAATGGGTTCTTCCTCAGTTACTGCTACTACACCCTTTGATGTTACAGAATCTTGACCCTTTTGGGTTTTGGTTAGTTTCGGTATTGGTTGTTCGGGTTGGTTTTTGATTAATTCATAATGTGCGTATGTATTTATTACTAAGCTATCGTAAGTTTGAGATTGGTCGGTATCTATGTAAATAAACTTATATCCCAAAAAAATGCAAAAAGAAAAAAAACTATGTAAATAATCGGTAAACCTTTTTTTTTATCACATATATATATATATATATATATCTATACTATTATTTGCGAAGTGATTTTTCGCAACGGAGCTCCCACGTTAAAAGTGATTTTGATTAGATAAGTAACTAAAATTAATAATAATCATAAGAATTATCCAAAATCTAAATAAGTGATTTTGATTAGATAAGTAACTAAAATTAATAATAATCATAAGAATTATCCAAAATCTAAATAATATCTTTAAAAGAAAAAGATAATTCTTATATATATTGTGTTGTTATCCGGAAATATATTTTTAATAAAAAAATCAAAAACAAAAAACACATATATAAATATTCATAAAATAAAATTTTTAATTGTATAAAATTTAAAAGAGAAAATTAAAAATTTATAATATGTAATTATTTTCAAATTAAAAGAATATAATAATATAATAATATAATATAAGGATATATATATTTGTGAAGTTATTTTTTGCCTCTCAAGTTACACGATAAATTAAATTTATTTTTTTATTTTATATAGTTAAACCTTAAATATGAATTAATCATAATAAAATAAAAATCATTCCAAACTAAACAAAATACGTGTTTGACCAAAATAAGTTCAAATATATTGTATTATTATATAAACTAATATTATTCTTTTTTTAAGATGAATTTTTGAATGTATATTTATCTATTCAATTTTTCAAATTGAAAGATAGATTTTTATATTTTTTATCAATTAAGAAGAAATGAAATAGACTTCTGATTTTTCAAAGTGTTAAAGGAAAAAAATAGATTTTTTAAAATTTGTGAATAATTTTATCATGCAAAAAAAATTGATGTTTAGGTCGAATTTTTTTGACACAAATAATCATTTATTTTGATAATTATCTAAATTGATTTAAAAATAATTAAGCCCGCATGTGCGGGCAAAACACCTAGTCTATAACATTATTTGAGAAGTAATTTTGCTGAGGTGTCAACTTCTCCATGATTTTAGCTTATTTTACTTATTTTCATGTTTTAATAATTTATTATATAATAAAAACGAATTTATGTTAATAATATTATATTTTTAGAAAATATGTTAATTCTTTTGTATTATATTGTTATCTTAAAAAATATATTATTCAATTATTATTCTAGAAATAAAAGTTTGCTTAGTTGTCAACTTCTCCATGATTTTAGGTTATTTTGCTTATTTTCATATTTTAATAATTTATTATAAAATAAAATAAAAAAAAATTATGTTAATAATATTATATTTTTCCATAATATGTTAATTCTTTTGTATTAGATTGTTATCTTCAAAATATATTTTTTTAATTATAAAATTTAAGTGAGTTTGCTGATTAATTTGTAACTTTCTGTGATTTAAGTAATCTATACTATTATTTGTGAATGATTTTTTGCAAGAAAGCTCTCAAGTTGAAAGTTAGAACGGTTTATAATTTACATAAATTGATTATTTATTTATTTATAGATATTAGTAAAATTATTAAGCCCGCAAGTGCGGGCAAAACACCTAGTATACTATTATTTAAGAAGTAAATTTGTTTAGTTGTCCTGTTCTCCATAAGTTTAGCTAATTTTGTTTATTTATCATATTTTAATATTTATATATAATTTATTTCTAAATAAAACGAATTTATATGAATATATCATATTTTAGAAAATAAGATAATTCTTGTGAATTATGTTGTTATCTACAAATATATTTTATATATAAAACTTAAATTTTAAATTAAGAGATAAAAATTATTATATTTATTGTATAACTAAAACACATTTATACTAATAATGTTATATTTTTTTAAAATAAGATATTCTTTTGTATTATGCTGTTATGTGAATTTTTGATCATTTATCAGAATTTCTCTAATTTTGTTTATTATTGATTATATAATTAAAAATAATTTATATTAATAATATGATATTTTAGAAAATAAGTTAATGCTTATGTATTATGTTGTAATCTTGAAATTTTATTTTTCTATTATTAAATTTAAAATTAACATGTAAAAAATCTATACTATTATTTAAGAAGTTAAAGTGATGTTTGTTGATATGACATCTTTTCCATGATTTTAGGTAATTTTAATAATTTATCATAATTTCTATAATTTATATATAATTTATTATATATTAAAACAAATTTACATTAGTAGTATGAGATTTTTTAGAAAAAAGATACTTCTTATGTATTAAGTTGTTGTCTTGAAAATATATTTTTCTATTAGAAATTTAAAATAAAGATATTAAAAGTTGTAGTTATTTTATAATTGTAATAAATTTACACTAATAGTAGTAATTTTAGAAAAGAAGTTAATTCTTATGTATTATGTTGTTATTTTAAAAATATATTTTTATATTATATAATTTAAAAGTAAAATAGAAAAATTATTTATTATTAATTAAATATAAATCATCACCCAAGAAAAAATATTTAAGAAGTGAATTTGATGATTCATAAGTTCTTCATGATTTTAGGTAATTTTAAGGGTGAATTGGCCTATAATCCATAAAGAACTTGGATATTAAGAATATGCCATGGTTTTGGGGGACAAATAGTGAGAGGGGAGGAGGAGAGGAGGAGAGATAAGAGAGAAAAAGGGTAGATAGTTAATTTAGGGGTTTAATTATATTTCATAATTTCTATAATCTTATATAATTATTATATAATTAAAAAAATTATCATATTATATTTTTAGAAAATAAATAACTTATGCATTAAATTGCTATCTTGAAAATATGTTTTTCTATTATAAAATTTAAAATTAAGATATAAAAATTATAATCAAATATAAATTAAGCAAAAATGTTTTGTCTAAATATTCTAATTAAATATAAATCAAGCAAAATAATTATAGAAATATATTCATTTAAATATTTCTAATGTTTGAGTTTTGTCATTGATAATTATTTGATGTTTCATTTGTACTTTTGAAACATAAATAATAACTTATTATGCTGGTTTTTAAATTAATTATTATGCTGATTTTTAAATTAATTGAACATCAGCTAATAAATATTTATAAGATAATTATGCCCGCAAGTGCGGGCAAAACACCTAGTAGTTTTAATATTATAAAAGCTTCCTACAATTGTTTCAAATAACAGTGTACAGAAATTATTTACATAGGGAAAAAAAAAATTTTGTATCCCTGCTTCATTTGATGGAATATCTTATATAATAAACTAGATCGTTGACAAAAAAAATATAAAAAAAATTATTAGATTTTGACCGGTACAATCATGTGATTTTCTTTTTTTATATAGTTTATTAAAAAAATATCAATAGAATAATATTTTTAACTTTGTTATAATAATATCAAAGTTTAATATTTATAAAATCAAACATCTATGTGGTCAAACTCTCTAGTATAAAGTTTTTCTTTAGATTTTAGGAATATATAGTGTTATTTAGATAAATTTTAATTTTTTAAACAAAAACATTTGTATTTCAAATAAAAGATAAGATATGAAGTGATATTATAATTAAATTTATGTAAAATTTGATAATTGGTTAAAAAGGGTCCAAATAAAAAATTTACACATAAAATAACTCATTATCTTTTTTAACAGTATAGATAGATAAATATATAATATTTTATTTTGTATATTTGAAATAGATATTCAGTAATTATTTTTAACATAATTTATTTAAATTGTGTAAATAAATATTTTCGAAACTTCTTCAATATCTCATCAAAATATAATAAGAAATATTTTAGATAATTTTAAATTTTTATTTATAAATAAAATAATAACTTCTAATGATATGTCATGATAATTATAATATAAATTCAATGATTTATGAAAATATAACTTAAAAAGATGCCAAAAAGATTTTTTTGGATTTATTTCATTTGTATTTCAAATGGAAAAATAAAATATTTAAAGATATTATTATTAAATTATGTACTATTTGATAATTTTGATATTTTTTTTAGAAAAATAATAGTTTTTTAAAAAAAGTTACGCATAACAAAATTCCAATTTTTGTTTTAATATATAAGATAATCTAGGGGTTTTTGCAAAACCAACATAAAATTTCAAGTCAAACACAAAACCAACCTCTTTTTTTTTGTCATTACTATTCACTCTTAAAAAACCTAAACTCTCCTCATGTTTCCACCTATTTACCAAATTGCCATTATTTTTAAATCTGATTTTATTTTCGAAAATTATAAAAAACCTATTACACCGTAAACATTTCTCCTTATTTACCATAATGTCATTGTCATCAATATTTGCAACCACCCAAAACCACCATTGATGAGCTCTTTAAGCTTGTGTTTATGAAATTTCAACCACTTATTTCACTTTCTAAACAAACAATACTTCATTTCCTCTCATTTCCTCTCTATTTTCATCTAAACAATCCTCATAACTCTCATTTTCATAA